GAAGGGGAAGGGGAAGGGAAGGAAGGGGAAGGGAGAAAGGAACACCTAGTATCCAGATCTTGGTTTCTAACTACCATTCTCCAATAAATGGATGATAATTAGAAATGGATGATAATTCTAGAACTGGGTAGAGGAAACTATCACCATAGTTTGGACCTTGTAGTGATCAAAAAGAAAAGCTAAAACACACACACATACCCTGCATGCACACATCAAACAAAAACACCACAATGTGTCAAAGGAACACACAAGATCTGACTATAAAAACTCCCACTTTGGAGTTGAAATAATATGAGGAACAAAGTAGTACTGGATTGTAATACAAAATATAAAATAAATATCCATGAGTCCATGATATAAATAAATGATTGCATAAATCAATAAATGAGGAAAAGAGAAATCTCCCATGCAGAAGAATTACAAAAAGTGTAGATGCTATACCCTCAACAAGGTAGCACATAACTACACACTCCTTAAGTGTGAGCTGTGCATAGCCACTTCCTTCCAAAGCAGACAATATAAGGAGAAGGAGGGGAAAAAAGAGTATTTTACCGAGGAAAAAAACTAACACTACCATAACCAAGTGTTTAAGGTTACCATCAACAGGATAAATCATGTCGATAATATGTTGTGATAAAAAAGGATCTTTACCCTAAACACATAACCCCAGTCTAATAATGGGTAAAAAATCAGATATTCTACAAAATACTTGACCGCTGCTCTTTGAAACTATCAGGGTCATCAAAAACAAAGTCAGAAAACCTGTCACAGCCAAGAGGTACTTAAGGAGACATGACTACTAACGCAATGTGGTATCCTGGGTGGAACCCTGGAAGAGCAAGGAGGACATTATGTTAAAAACAAAGGATAACTGAATAAAGTATGGACTTCACTTAATAATAATGTGAAATTCACTTTGTCCATCATTCACACACAAGCAGAGGTAGAAAAGGAGAGGAACCCAAAAATGTACAAAGTGCTATAGCATATTGCTAATGTGGTTAATTTCATAGCAACAAAGCTTTTAATAAGTAGAGGAATACTTACAAACTAGGATGAGATGTGTGGCAACTACAGCACAGTGTTTAAGTGCTTTAGCTCCAGAACTGGAAGGCATGAGCTGGAACACTGGCAATAAAACTTAGTAGCTATGAGACCTTGGACATGTTACTAATCTTAGTTGTTATCGTGTGTAGAATAGTGATGATAACAGTCTCTACCTCACAGAATTGGTAGCAGTAGTGTAAGATATTTCATTACACAACTTAGAAAAAATGCTCAGCCACATGTAAAGTTCTCAATAAGTGTTAGACATTAATGGCCATCACTATGGGAGTAATCATGAAAATCTTTTATACCACAATGAAATTCATTACTTATCTTTTAGCTAAGAACTTAAAAGTTATCAAACTTAAAGATGAATTACACATTTCCATTTACAAATAAATAAGACTTCCCAATTTGCTGGCCTGCTCTGGAATATTTTATAAAGACTGAGGTTTTTAACAATACTCCATCAGTACCTCCTGCTTATTCAGTTAAAAGTTATATTAACAGTCTTGGCCACAAACAACTAACAGAGACTGCTTCATCAGAACTTAGAAACAGTGTGCATACCCTCAAATCAGGAGAAAAGTTGTCTGCAGACGTTGAAATAGAATCCGATGACACAGCAGAAGCGGATTTCGTATGCACTGAATTCTCTGAATGAGAAGTGGAAGCACTGCAAAAGAAAAAGCACAGTATGTTTAGGAAATGGGGCTTTAATAAACCAATTTCAGAAACTGTCATTATAACTCCCTTATCTATCAAAACTTTCACTGCCAACTACTCATACTTTGCCCATTCAATCTTATCTCCAAATACTAATAAACTGAAAACTCTGTATTCCTGCATGGTTAAGTATTCTTACTATCCAAGCTCCCTCTAGACAGACTTCCCTGGTACTCACGAATACACTCTTGGCTAATTCTTTTCACCCAATTCATCCATTCTTTTGTCCAGTGAACATTCACTGAATGGTCCAATGTGCAAAACCATTACATGAGGCACTATGATCTGGCTATAAATATGATATAATCCTCATGTTCACGAAGCTCACAAGCGTGTGGCAACTACAGCACAGTGGTTAAGTTCTTCAGCTCCAGAGCTGGAAGGCAGGAGCTGGAACACTGGCTATAAAACTTAGTAGCTATGAGACCTTGGACATGTTACTAATCTTAGTTGTTACCGGGTGTCGAATAGTGATAACGGTCTCTTGGCTAATTCTCAGAATTGGTAGAAGTATTATGACAGATATTTCATTACACCGCATAGAATGCTTGGCACATGGAAAGTGCTCAATAAATGTAAACTATTACTGGCCATCATTATGCTGGCATGCTGAGAACAAGAAGCCAAACAACAGACAGAACATAAAGTCCTCATGGTATCACTTAGCAGCCAAATCTATACCAACAACTCCCTACTTGTGAAATTTTTGTAGTGTAAAACAAATGGAGTTCAATTTTTTAAATCACGGGAATAGTTTTATATTCTCTATAGCCAAACACAATTCTAAGTGATACAGCAATCAATACCTCATAAAGCATACTTTGGGAAAGTTCCAATATGTAATACTACTTTTTATGCACGGGACCTGGGAGAACAGATAAAACTCTTAATGGCAATAAAACACAATTGGGAATTATGGGTAGTATATTACTTAGAAAAAAAATATTGACATTATAGCATGCACCACTAAGAAACCAAATGATTCTCTAAAGCCAAAGTACAAGTAAATAAATCTAAGAGAAATAAAATGACAAAACCAAGTTCTGCACCTAATACCTCGCAGTGTGGCATTCAAACAAGCGGTCTTTTGAGCCTAAGTGTGGCAAATATCCTTTAATTACTAACTTCTTTTTACTCATGCATAAACACAGATAGACACTATGATCCACAATGTTACATCTGAATAAGCAATAATGTGTATATCAATACAGCCAATCTGCAAAAGGCTTTACACTCCAGGCAGGCAATGAGAAGCTGGAGGGGCTCAGGGGTGAGAATATCATAGTGTGTGTTCTTGTGACCATGGTAGACAGAGACAGAGACAGAGACAGAGACAGACACAGACACAGACACAGACACAGACACAGACACAGACACAGAAACAGACACACACATACCAATAGAATTGTTAAGAGTAGGCAGCTAGATAGACATGCAGGGATACATGGCTAAGATCAAGGGGAAGATTTGGGAGATGTGACAAATAAGAATTAACCAAGAGTTAGCAGGCCCAAGAGTGAGGCAGGGGAGACTTCAAACCTCTGCCAGGATGTGATCTAACAGATACTTTAACACCAGAGTGGCACAACTTTGAAACCTGAGGAGGTTTTTGTTTTTGTTTTGTTTTTTGCACAACCCAACTCTGGGGTATAAAATTTCAAATGCCCAAACAAGCAGGGCACTTGGTTCAGCTTTGGCCAGCTAAGCTGCCCGCTCGAACTATATCTGAGTATATTTCCTTTTCTTGCAAATAAACTCTTGTATGCTTTGCTGCTATTTATTATTATCTCTTGTTGGAATTCCTTACTACAAGCAAGACCAGGGGCACAGAGACCACCTCCAACAGAAATATTGGGAGTTCTCCTTGTATAAACATGAAGTGCTGCCTTCGTGGACACAGATACCTAGAATGCAGAGCTCCATTTTCAGTAGTTAATTTTTCTTCTGTCATATAGGCTCTATTCATGCTTCTGATCTCTATGGGCAGCTAATATAATACAATCTAATTTCCACTGATCTTTTCCATTTCTCGCTTGCTCATCTTGAGATCAAGCTCCCTGTTTACTTTTTATCAACGGTTCCACAAATGAGCTCTGTATTTTCCTGAATTCATATCTTTGCTCAAGCCATTCCAAAACAGAATGCCCCTTTATCCCAATCTATTTATTAAAATCCTATCTACTCTTTAAGACCCAGTAAAAGGCTAGTTTTTCCAAGACGTCTTCCCCAGGTCTTTCAGCTGGAACTAAGTTTCTCTATACTTTCACAGACTTCTGTCTATACAATTGCACTTAATACTTTTCACATGAGACTAGAGCTTTTTGGTGACATGACCACCTCCTTATAAAATTATAAACTACTACAGAATAAGAACCATGTAACTGGCAAGGCATTTAAACTGGAAGAAAGACTGCAGTCTGCTAATCTACTTAAGTAAACAATACCAATTAGGTTCTCAGTTTTCCTAGGTCCATAAACTTCACTAAAATCAATCCAAACATTCCTGTTATTCTTGTCATCCTGAGCCTCTCTTCAAAAAAGGCAGGGTTTCTAGTCTGACTATGTATTTCCTTCATCCATTTTCCATGTCCAAATCTTCCTTCTGCTACTAACTCATCCTAACCTTTATACTGGAATCTTTATTCCATAGTGAATAAATTTCCTCACATCTTCGACAGAATTCTCCCCTCACAGCCCTGGTCAGGTGGATCAGTTGGTTAGAGCACTGTCCAGATACACCAAAGTCAAGAGTTCAATCCCTGGTCAGGGCACATACAAGAATCAACCAATGAATGTGTAAATAAATGGAACAACAAATCGATAAATCCATGTCTCTCTTCTCTCTCCCTCCCTCCTTCTTACTCTCTCTAAAAAAAAAATAAGAATTTTCCCCTCACCTCTTCACCTCAACTGATACCTTCTCCACGGAATCCACTCCCCTGCAGCCTGTTCTAGAGGAGACTCTTCTCCCAACATCTACCAAAACCCAAAGGTGAACCCAGCATTCCCCCAGCTCCACGACCATGCTCTCACACTAGTACTACTTTTCCATCTTCATACGTAAAAGCTTTCTTCCTCTGAGGTTCATGGCATTTGGGTATACAGCCTCTCCGCATCGTCACCTACCTACCTTTTCATTACTCCTCCTAACTCACTGAAGACTTGTTCAACTGGCTTAATTTCTTCTCCAAAGCTTCTTTCTACTCCAAAGCTGCCAACATCATGGGAATTTAAACATTCCTAAGGATAAACTAGCAACAACCTACCTCAAAATTCCTCAATTCCTACAACCCTCATCCACCTTCCCATTTTAGCAATGTGCTTCTACAGTCATACTATGGACTTTATCATTTGTGGGAACTAATCAGCCTCTGTAATCTTAAATTCAAGGATCCCAATCTCTGATTACAGATGCTCTTCTTTCCAAGTATCTCACTTTCTTAACTTGCCCTTCATCTAATCTTCAACCTGGTAGAGATAACTCATCCCTCAACCCCTCCATTTGTGATGCTTTATTGCTCTCCTTTTACCCTTCACTTCCCGCCCTACCCAGCCCAGAATGTGCAGTGTAACACTTTATACTCTGGGCAAACCCTCAGTGTGCTTATTTCCTCCCCTATGGGCCACCACTGCCCTGCTAATTCCTACCCTCTTCCATGCTAAAGCTTGGCTACTAATGACAAAAAATCTTCACACTGGGGCCTTAGTATTCATGGTTAGAAACATTAGCTAGGACCACGGCAGTGCGCAGCAAACCCATCACATCCAATCAATCCAAAATCCTCCAGAGTGTACTTCCCTATCTCTAGACTGCATCCCTTTTTCTATCCTAATTTTTACTGTCTTAACTAGATACCTCTTCTCTGGACTACTGCAAATCACCTGCCTCCTTTCTCCTACTCATCCAATATATCATCCCAAATCAATACTAAAGTGATCTTTCAAAAACAGATCTGATCATGTCATTGCTTAGATTTTCAGTGAATCCTCACTGCCTACAGAATCAGGCCCAAACTCCTTAGCATAACACCTGAAGTCTTCCATGACTTCCCCTTGTTCTACATAACTGGCTGGAGCTCCAACCCATCGGAAGCCACAGGGAATGGCTTGTAGAGTCCCTAAGTCCTCTAGCCATATTATGCCTCTGTCCTCTGTTAAGCCTGCTTCTTCTACCTATAATGTCCTCCATACACTTCCACGCCCACTCCGCTCCTACTCACCTTCCAGGCGCAACGACGTCTTCACGTACACTGCGCGTATTTCTATCACACCTGTAACACTGCACTGCATTTACTGGTCTACAAGCTCCTCCTCTCAGACAATTCTGTTACTGTATACTGTTCCGAGATTTTCTCTTTACCAGATCATTTCCCTACCTTGCTCTCAATAAAAAATGTAAAGTGTCTAAAAAAGAATATCTGACACATCCTTAGCTATTATTTATAACTATATGTTATTACACACATATTACTACCCCCAACCAAGTCCAATCAGCTGCATGAATAAAATTATAATGGCAAAGTTGCTGTTTCACCTCTCATTAATACTGCTTTCAGCTGTAATGTATTACAAGTGAGAATACAAATGTCCCCCCGTAACTGTAACCAAGATTTACTGAAGGAATAAAACAGCAAGAACTACAATTAAAGACCCAGTATTTAAAAGACAAGAAATTATGTGTCTTGGACAGTATTATATTAAAAGTATTTCAAAGATAAATATCACTACTACTGTAAAAGCATTTGTGTTGGCACTGTATATACCATTTAAAAACTGAACCTGTCATTCATTACCAGGGACCAAATTTAAATTGTCTGCCCCGCCCCCTTCCCCTGAAAAAAACTTTATGTTGAAGCTTTACCCCATAATGTGATTGTAATTGGAAATCAGGGCTTTTAGGAGGTACCTAAGGTTAAATAAACTCTAAAGAGGGGAGGGCTAATCTGATAA